AAAAATATAGGCCTATATTTATTGCAGTGTAAATACAATTATCTAACTCTGCGCGTTATTGACAAATTATTGAAAAAAAAGGAAACGTGCAAATCTTACGGTTTTCTTCAAGTTGTATCCTTCAAATACACTTCCGTGCAGCTGTGGTTGTACAGTAAGCTATTATCATTGGTCCTATTCAAACCGGACAATAGACCATTCCACTGAATTCAGCAGTGTCCACCACAATTTCCAAGTAAATGCACATCATTGATCATTTTTCTCGTTAAAAATATGTTCTCATAACATGAGATGTGCAGTTTACTTTAAAGCAAGCACTTACCTCCATAATGGTGACTTCAAACTTGATTATTTTCAATAAAACAGTGCTAAGGCTTCCTGGAGGCTAAGTGAGGGCTGCCCGTGCAGGGCCAGTACTAAGGGGCCAACGTTCTGCCAATGAGCAAATTCTCAGGGGCCCTGCGCTGGCAGCCCTAAGTGGGCCTGTAAAGGGCCAGTGCAGGCGTGTTTGCAGGGCTGTTTCACTTTCAAAAAAGAAGCTGATGAGACAGAAAAACAACAAACTGGAGATGCAAAACCAACAGATACCTGTGAAGACAAACTTAAGAAACCTGTGCCAGCACCTCTAGTTTAAACAAGTAGAAATATGTTTTCTCTCATTCACGTCCACATTCCCAACATAGCGCCTTACTGATTACAAACGATTATCAACCTAAATTGGCACAAATAACCCCGGCTTCCTTACCCAACAGTTCCAACCCATCATTTTGTGTACTTAGACTAGAGAAACATATCTTGGGATGTCTGAGCGGGGACATTTTTCTCCTTTACAGCCTCTTGTATTTGCCATTTCTATTTTTATCCTTTACTAGCTCTCTAAACTCTCTGAGGTTCTTTCTAACACTCTTTTTTATCCACTTTTCACCTCCCACATTACTGTATTGTGTTTCTGTTGCTCTCTCAGCATTGCCCTCTTGAACCACAGCTGCTGTCCCAACGTCATAGTCACATACAGAGGTATCAACGCTGAAGTACGGGCTGTGCAGAAAATCAGTCCAGGGCAAGAGGTCAGTATGCCACTGTCCTCTTATAAGTGTTAAAATAGTGAAATTACTGACAAAATGTTCATTAACAGAGATTATTATTATTATTATTATTTTGTCAATTATAACAAAGACAATGTATTAAACTATTTCAAGTAAAACATACTGACAAAAAATACAACACCCAAGATATTAACAATGCATTAACAATGTTTTTTTTTTTTTTTAACAATCTAGCAATGTGATTCGTTCAAATAATCAATCCTAGGAGGAACATGGGTGTTGTGTCAAAGTTCCAAAACTAGGGGTAACTCTTGGGAGCCTAAATAGCCTACCTCTGACATTTTCGAAAAGGTCAGTAAAATTTGCATGCGTGGCCACTCCCCGGACATCCGGGTATATAAGGGCCCATATGTTCAACTCAGTTAGGTTTCTGCTGAGGAGCCAAGATAGCATCTCAACTCCCTCAGCAGCAGTTCAGAGTTGTGGCCTGAGGGACACAACGTCTCCGTTCCCTCCATCAGGGAACAAGAGTTACAATAGTAACCATGACATTCCCTTTCTTTTGGTTACTTTTGATGTTGTGTCGAAGTTCCAACACTAGGGGTCAGAACTAGATGCCAGAACTAGCTGAACTGCATTATAAATCTATGGTGCCTCAAATGCTGACAAGCATGGCGTGTCAACCAACAAGTGCACTTCACCTCCTTGTAACCTTACAACAAGGAAGCGTGGCCTCACTTCTCCATCGCCTCTAGGAAACTTACCATTACAATGGGAAGAGGTCACCTCAGCTGTTCATAGCCTTTTCTTTGAGTCTCAAAACAGTTACATTTTTAACAGCTGAGCATACTTGTTTGTTAGCATTGGGAAGTTTTCTCTTTCTCTAGTGAGAGCGGAGCATTATGGAGACCACATCCTACCCGAAGGGGGAGGTAAACATGTGGAAATACACCCTATGGACTTACCCAAAGTCCCTTTGAAGGAAAGTCTGTTCACTCAGCAGCCATATTTGCAACACCTCCGGGAAGCTATTTCAGGCATCCAAGACCAAGTCCTATCTAAATTAATGGGGAAAGCCTGCAATCTCAAAAATTGCCTGCTGAACTCACAATTAGATTACATATTTCAAATCAGCAAAAAAAAAAAAAAAATCTGAAATGAACTGCCCCATAAATGTTGTTCCTTGTTTAAATAACGTTAAAAAAGCTTATTTTTCAGGCTAGATCACCCTTACCAAAAAGAAGTATACTTCAAGTTTATTTTATTAAGTATACTTTATGTACAAGTATAAAAATATCAGTGTACTAGTAGTGTACTTGTAAGTGTACTATTTCAGTGCTCCTTGGGATGAGTACACAACTAGTTTACATATGTTTTTAGTTTGTACTGCAACTTTACTACAAGTGAACTTATAGGTATACTGATAGTTTACTAATTAAATACTTTAAATATAAATAGTTTAGTACACTTTGAAGTATAGTCTCAGTAAACTACTAGTTTAGTAGTTTTAAACTGCAAGTATACTCGTAAGTTTTCCTTAAGTGAACTTTACATCATAGGACTTCAACCCTGCCCCTGGGGACCCACTTCCCAGCAGAGTTCAGCTCCAACCCTAATCAAACACACCTGAACCAACTAATCAAGGTCTTCAGGATCACTTGAAAAGTCACAGGCCAGGTGTGCTGATACAGGTTGGAAAGAAACTCTGCAGGACAGTGGGTCCCCAGGAGCAGGGTTAAAGACCTATGCTTTACATCATACTTTAAGTATACTACTATGTCCCTATTTAGGTATTAATTTGTACATATTTTGTTATATATCTGAACATACAACACATCAAAAGAAAGAACAGTGTCTGCTTGAAAACAAAAACATTTTATTCTAGCTTCATGCATTCTTTTTTATAAACACTTGAATGTGGTTAAGTTTCATAAATAAAAAGAAATAAAGAAATAAATAAACAACATTTTGAAAAAATATGAAAAAAGACTATGAATTGGATTCAGAATGATAATTAAAACATAGATGGAGTCGATCAACACCCCAAAGCTCTTTATGGGTCGACATTTTAGTCCATGACGTTACACAGTTTTGATGCTGTTTTATGTCTGATGATCGTGTTACATTACATGTGGAAGCATCTGTTGTTTCGGTTTCTTCTTCGCTTGTGTTTTGGGAATTTGGGAATGTACAGAAGATGTGTAATAGCGCCCCCTACAGTATAACAATGAAAACATGGATTCCCGGAGCACAAGTAGCTATAGCCTATAGCTCAAATATATTTAGACTTTTTCTAAGTATAAGTATATTTAAATGTCATTTTAAGAATATTTCTGAGAAGTACATAAAAAGTAGACTGAAAGTATACTTTCCTATTTTTAGTTTAAAATAAGTATAGTAATAGCACACTTGAATAAACTTTTTCGTAAGGGCAGCCAATGTGCATGTGCAGTCATAAGCGCGAGTCTCAGGATTCTATGGGAACCGGAGCTTATAATGGCAGCTTCAGTGACACAATGACTTTACCAATCAGTGATTGTCTGTTTTATTCAGAAGGCGGGACTATTCCGCCATATTGCGTGTTGCAGTTTCTCCCATTCAAAAGTAATAGGAGTGAACTGTCTTTGTATATCTGTAGTCTTTGACTTAAGGGAAGTAATACATAGGTAACTGTGGTGTGCTCCGCCTACTAGGAGAGAGACTGCCATACACAGAGACTGGTTACAGAGCAGAGCTCTGTCCAGGGGAAGACACGGGATTCACATAAGGGAAATCGAACTGTGGAAGAATACACATATGGGACTGCCATAAGGGAGTTGCTACATATGAAGCACTAATCAGGGCTCACCTGAAAGGGGCATACCACAGGTAATGGGTCTGTTAATGAATTCCTCCACCGAACTAGTGTTGGGTCGTTTTTGAACGATTCGTTCATTTTGAACGAATCTTTAATGTGACTCGGGAAGAACGAGTCCTCTCGGGGAGTGATTCGTTCAGTCGCGCATCCGCAACATCCTATAGGTTCTGTACTGGAATTAGTCTATGTAGTTCACCTGTTTCGAGTCTTCGGGCTTTTCGAGTCATTCGCTGAACGAGACTCAAAGGTCCGAGTCGGTAAAATGATCCGAACTTCCCATCACTACACCGAACTCAAATGTGCTTAAGGAATAGGAATAGGGCAGGGGCGTGTCTACATGGTGGCCAGGGGTGGCACCGGCCCCCCCTGAAATTTGGCTGG